CTACAGACCTCTGACTGTTCCAAGACCGGGCTACGGCAGGCTGCCTTCTCTCCCATATATAGGTTGCAGGAACTGAATAAAGTGAACGTCACTCTGTGTATGTTTGCTATGGAATGACATATTCAGTTTGGTTTTCACTAAACTATCCAAGTTGGACTCTAGTCATACATGTTTGTGTATTTGTAAGAGTTCAAAACAAACATGCCTGTTTTTCTTGTTTGGGCGATGTTCAAAATGGGGCTTTAAAAGATCAGGAGTAAACAGAAAGCTTTGCAATGCAATCCCGTGGACAGTTATTCCACTGAAATCAGTTGGTTTAGTTCAGGAGTAGTGCTGCACAGGATCGCATTTTTAGTTTCCCTTGGGTGGGGGTGGGGAGGTCCTGAATTCGAATTATACCAGAAAGCCCTGGTTTAGTCATTCCCTTCTCCCTGCTGTGAGGGAGCACAGGAACTCTGTGCATATGGGGACCTGATTTCTCTTTGGGGAAGTGGCAAATCTGGGAAAGGGGGGGGGGATCCAAATGATATTAATTCTGCCTCTTTTCTAAAAAGTTCAGGTCGGTATATGTAGCTGACCCCTTCCCCTCCTCCTCTTGCCGTTCTCCTCCGGGCAATTCTGCGATAGAGCATAGGTACCAAATGGCCAGGGGTCGATTCGGGGGGGATCGCCATTCCCCCGGGTGAGGGGCGGGGGGCGGGGCATACGACGAAGCCCCACCCCCTGCTTCCGGTCGGGGTAAAATGGCGATTTGACGCACCCTGTAAGTGCTCAGGGTGGACGGGTGTTCCTTACAGCAGTTTGGACTGTATTTTGGTCCAACGCGGCTTCCCCCAGGCAGGGGGAATGACTGGCAGGGATCAAGACCCAAGAGGGAGTTGAGATTGGTGTGATCAAGTCTTGGAGGAGGCTTGTATTACACTTTGATCCCCTCTCCCCAAGCGGGCGAGCACATTAAGGGGGTGTGGCCTTATGACACACTTCCAGTGATGTCAGGGGGTGTGGCATATGCTAATGAGTTATGCTAATGAGTCCCCCTAGCTCTTTTTCTACGAAACGACCCCTGCAAATGGCCATTCAGCTTTGTGGATGAGTGGGGATTTGAAGAACTTGGGGCTCTCCAGAGCTCTTTTGACTACGCCATACTGGCTTCCACACTCACTTTCCTCCCTAGGAGTGTTCCTCTACCGCACAGTTTCTCTCCCAGAAGAGAGATATCGCTAACGATCCTGATTTTCAGTACGTTCTGCGTTCAAATCATGGCATTGTACTCCGTGAGGCAGTTGCATTATTATATTTTCTGTAAATGCAAAGGACAGCTTTGTATCCTGCTTGCTTTCAGGCCACTTATTTCATATGTTGAAAGAGAGACGCTTGGACCATATCGTTTATAGGTTTTGGTAACTAAACAACTCTCTTGAAATAGCCAGTTTGCTTTGAAAGTACTACTTCAAAGAGGGGGAGAAATGCTGAGGCTATTTTGTTGCTCAACAAATAATGGGTTCCCCCCCCACCCCTCTTGGCCTTCTTCCTCTTCCTGCTTCCTCCTAAGCCTTCTTTCCAGTTGTGAACAGTGGTGGCCTGACCACATTTTTTTTCATTTCCTCCCATTGCAAGGCTGGAGCCCTGTCATTCCTATTCTTCTTTGCATCTGACTTAACCTGCAAATGCAAACATTTTTTAAATATATATATATTTATTTCAAGCAGCTCTTGATGTTTTGTATTCAGGACTGGGCTTTTTTGGGGGGAGGAATTGTTTGTTCCTGAAATCTGGGGGGGGGGGGGGGAGAATCCTGCAGTTAAGTTTCACAGTTATGCAGCCTTAAAGATCTCTGCAGGTTCCCATCTGTATACCTGATTCAGCAGTCTTTTCCACTGTGGCAAATTCAGGAAGTAGGTTAAAGGATTAGAAATTTTTTAAATAAAGTGTTGGTTGGTGGTAATGTCATTTTCCTGGTTGGGAAAAAAATATAAAGGGATTATTTGCATACATGTTAATTGAACAGGCTATACTGCTTGCAGAAAGAAACTTCTGTTCTCATGTTGTCATTTTTTAAAAACAAGATTTTCCCCCTTCCAGATACAAATATGTTTTTGAAAGCAGGTGGCCAATATTGCAGACATCTCAGAAGCCTCAGAAGTGATTTCCAGGGATATGGGGCAGGGCTTCTGTACGTAGATGTTTAATAGCCCATGGCAATTAAAACCAGAATGAATTATGCAGGTAGGCTCTATACTCCTTTATGCAGTGTTGCAGAACTTGGCTATACCGGGCTCAGGATTTTAATACTTTTCATGTAGAAAACACACAGGAGATTCTGAGGAACATTAGTGTGCTAATGGCAGTTATCACTTATGAACTTGGGATGTTGCTGTCACCATCAGTGCACACTTTTACCTTTGGATTACCTTTGCCTGTTTTCCAACAATGGGAGTGAAGACTGAATGTAGAAACCTGTGTGTGGGGGGATGGATGTCTAAGGCTGTGAAATTAGAACATTGGTCCAGTTTGGCCAGATTTCTGTTTGTTTACATGGTGGAGGAGTGGGAGTATGTCTGCCTCTTCACACTGTGCACTGCCCAATCCGGTCCTGTCTGTGGGCCTACATGATCCAGTTTGGTGCAGTGGTTAGGAGCGCAGACTCTAACCTGGGAGAACCGGGTTTGATTCCCCACTCCTCCACATCCAACTGCTGGTGTGGCCTTTGTCGGTCACAAGTCCTCTCAGAGCTGTTGTCTCAAGAGCAGTCCTCGAAAGAGATCTCTCAGCCCCACCTACCCCACAGGCAGTGCTCCCTCTAAGCTGTGGAGTCTTGTAATCAAACATTCTACTTTGTGAGCTACCGGCATTAAAGTGGCGAGCAGGAAATTTGGCTACTGCATCAATTAGTTTGCTCTGGAGCCCTCCTTCCTGAGCTAAGACAAAAATGTGTGAGCTGGAGGCTAAAAAACTGCGAGCTAGCTCACACTAACTCAGCCTAGAGGGAACACTGCTCACAAGGTGTCTGTTGTGGGAAGGGGAAGGAGATTGTAAACTGCTCTGAGATTCCTTCGGGTAGTGAAAGGCGGGATATAAATCCAATCTCATCTCTTCTTCTCTTCATGTGTTGGGCAGAGGTCTGTATCCTATAGGACCAGCGGTCATGTGATTCTTCTTGTGGCATGAAGTACTTACATTCCAATGCCAACCTTTATGCTACAAACTGTGATGTGTGGGGACTATTTCAGTTTCATAAAGGTAATGTCTTGACTTGGTTCAGACATAACACAAAACCATGGGATCTATGGTTAGTTTGTGAAACTAGAATTGGGTTTACTAATGGTTAATATGCTGATTTACTACAGAGTGCTGTTTTTAATACACGTGTCTCTGAAGCCAGGGAATGTGCGAGGGCAGTTACAAAGAACAAACTAGCATTAATATCTAGGGTTGACAGGTCTTAACTGCTCGCCGGCGGGGGGTAGGAGAGAGCTCTCTGGGAGTGGGGGGCAGGGTGACATTGCTGCACACGATGTCCCTGATGTGATGCAATTGCACAGAAGTGACGTCATCATGCGGGGGATACCGCATGGTGACGCTTTGGTAGTTTGGGCAAAACTCTATGGTCACCATAGAGTTTTGCCCAAAATACCTGAGTGTTGCGACACAACAACCCTGGCGTGATGAAGTCACTTCCGTGTGATGTCATCATTTCGGGGATGTCACGTCAGGGCGTGCAATGTTCCCTCTAAGCTGTGGAGTCTTGTGAGCAGAAGTTCTATCTTGTGAGCTACTGGCATTAAAAGTTGTGAGTGAGCGATTTTGCTACTGCACATATTAGTTTGCTCTGGAGCCCCATCCTCCCTGAGCTAAGACAAAAATCTGTGAGCTGGGGGCTAAAAAACTGTGAGTTGGCTCACACTGAATCAGCTTAGAGGGAACACTGGTGGGGATTCCCTGCTGGCCAGCTGGCCAGTGGTGGGAAGGAGCCTGCAAAATCAGGGGATCCCCCGCTCCCACCTGGGGGCTGGCAACCCTATTAATGTCTGTGTTTGCATGTTACATTAAAATGCAGGTAAGACTAACTGAAATTAATAAGCCAACTTCAAATCACGGTTTCAGATCCTAGTTTAATAGACCTTAACTAACCGCGGTTTTGATAGACCTTAACTAATCGCGGTTAGTGGCGTGGCCTGCTTTCAGATGGCTGTGCTGTGTCTGAACCGAGGTGTTCAGACAGACAATGTGGTTAAGAGTAACAGACTCTGATTTGGAGACCTGGGTTCGATTCCACTGTCCTCCACATGAAGCCAGCCGGGTGACCTTGGGTCAGTCACACAGCTCTTTCAGAGTTCTCTCAGCCCCCCAAAATAAGTCTAGCTCACCATCTAGCATGACACTAATGAGCTAGAACTTACGGCAGACAGACAGTCTTCAGATCTCCTGGCTACACGACACACAACGCCATACGATAATTATTCTTACCGAGCTGTAGACGGTTCCTTAGTTCTTGTGTTCTCCCTTTGTTACTCTTTATTTCTGTTATACCACCAGACTACCAATTCCATTTGAAGTATATTGCCAGACCCAACTTCTGCAGGAGAAAGGTAGAAATAATACACACCAATGGACGTCCATGGGCAAGGAAGAGCAGCAAGAGCAAAATCTCATGGTTGCTCAGATCAGCGATATGTGGCCTATTCATGTCAATGCATTTTCTTGCCATTATGGCTTGTCTCTGTTGTCCCTCTCTTTGTCTGGAGCTTGGATGGTAATTCATGGGTTCAGTGCATACTTTAATTCCACTCATGGTGCCGCATCAGGAAACTCTGTAAACTCATGCCTTGGCAAAGCTAAAGAAATCAATCTGATCTTGACTTGTCTAATTTTTTTGTCCCTAGTTAATTGCCTTCAGGTTTCAAGGTAGTGGCCTGTTGTATTAAGCCCTTGGCATGCTGAGGGAAGGTCAAGTCGTGTGACAGATGAATCATATGACAAACTCTCCTTTTTCACGGCAGGTTGCTGAACACCATCAAACCCGGATTGGTCAAAAAGATCAATAGATTGCCTACTCCCATTGCAGGTCTGGTGAGTATCTGTAACCGAGATGTGTGTGTTGTTTTGCTTACATGGAACTGTTGTGATGGCCGTTTCCCTGACACTTGCAAGTACGTCTTAGACCTGGGCAGCATCTTTGAAAATTCACTTTGATGCTAGTGCTTCTCTTGGGAGAAATTCCAAAGGGCTCTCATCTGGCCACTTTTAGTCTGATGACCTTTTTCCCATCACTCAGGCTGCATTTTCTGTTTTTTTTCTTTGTAAAGTTTAAGGCAAGGCACCTGGGGGGGGGGGTTAGATTATACGTCTGCCTGTTAAAGCAATAAAGATGCTGATACGTGTGTTTAATATTAGGAAAATGTGTAATACATTAGGGAGGACTTCCTGACAGCTATTGGAGCAGCTCCTCAGTGGAACAGGCTTCCTCAGGAGGTGGTGGACTCTCCTTCTTTGGAGGTTTTCAAAGAGAGGCTAGATGGTCGTCTGACAGCATTGCTGATTCTGTGAACTTAGGCAGATCATGAGAGGGAGGGCAGGAAGGGTTGCATCAGTGCTTAGTTCTTGTGGCCCTTTCTTACATGCCCAGGGTAATACCGATTGTCACTTTGGTGTCACAATGGAATTTTCCTCCAGACCAGATTGGCCAAGGATCCTGGGTTGGGTTTTGATTTTTTTTTTTTTTTGCCTTCCTCTGGACATACAGCAGATACCACTGGGGGACTGGGGTGGGGGATAGTTGTGAATTTCCTGTGTTGTGCAGGGATGTAGACTGTATTACTCTTGAGGTTCCTTCCAGCTCTTTGTTTCTATGTTTTCCCTCCTGCCTGGAGGCTGCATCAACTCTTATTCCACTCTTGCCTTCTCCGTTCTTATGGAAGCGCTTTAGAATAGTGAATGTTTCTCTGCTTAACTTGGAATGGGTTTTGAAATGGATTTTGGTGGTTTGTAATAGTCATCCCCCCCTCTCTGCCAGTATATACTCCTTTAATACGTAGCACACGTTTCAGAATTCGAGCACTTGTGTCTTATGGCTCTTAACATTTCAAAATGAGTAATTCCAAATTTCTTGTTTTTAATGTTCTGTAACATTTCCAGGGCAAAGCCATCCATTCATGATATATGAATTTAATATTCTGTTACCACAAAATGATAAAAAAAATGACATCATGCAGAGGAATTAATAAACCAGGGGGGGAAAAGTATGGCTGAAGAGACAAAATATATAACGACAGCCTATTCTTTTATTAGCTGCTCTGTATGTCTGACACCTCAATCTTAAATGGTGGGGTCAACATGAAAGACTGAAGATTGGCCTCGAGCCAAGGGTATAACTTATGCTCGGCATATCACATATGGGCCCACAGTGAGTGAGTTGTCATGTTGCTTTGTGTTGCGTCCACATTAACGTTCAGCAAGTAGAAAAGGAGTAGAGGAGTAGAAAGGAGTAGAGTGGACAGGAGAAAAGAGTAGGCAGGAGTGGGAAAGGTTTTATTTATTTATTTAGATTTAGATTTAGATCCTGCCCTTCCCAAGAATGGGCTCAAGGCGGGCTACAACAATATTTTATAAACAGTAAGCCATTTTTTAAAAATTAAGCAATAAAAACAGTTAAAACAGTTAAAAGATGGGGCATAGCAGCAATTACATATTCAGTGATCCCAGACTGGGAATAATGGGGCCACAGCCTTGGGTCAGTCACAAGCTCTGGCACAGCTGTCCTTGAAAAAGAGCAGTTTGTGTCAGAGCTCTCTCAGCCCCACCTACCTCACAGGGTGTCTGTTGTGGGGAGGGGAAGGGAAAGGAGTTTGTAAGCCACTCTGAGACTCCTTTGGGTAGTGAAGGGCGAGGTATAAATCCAATCTCCTCCTCCTCCTCCTCCTCCTCCTCCTCCTCCTCCTCCTCCTCTTCTTCCTCTTCTTCCTCTTCTTCCTCTTCTTCCTCTTCTTCCTCTTCCTCCTCTTCTTCCTCTTCCTCCTCTTCCTCCTCCTCTTCTTCTTCTATAGGGATTTTATCGGTAGTAGTCTCTCAGGAGTAGAAACTGCAGTAACTGCAGCAGGGAGGCCAATTAATGGAAGCCCGCCGTGCCGCCTCACCTGAAGGTCTGGCAGAACAGGCCCCACGAAACTGTATTAGGTCTCCCAGGGCCCTAGTTGTAACAGTAATGTAGAAACTGGACAACTTTATCATATGGCTGAGAGTAAAGCACTGAACATGCCATGCTGAGGACCTGACTGCACAATAGGTTTTCCTGTACAGGGCCTTGCGTCAGTTGGACAGACGTGTTCAGGGAATTTTGTGCTCACCGAGTACTTCCAGGTCCAATTCAGATCAGAGGCCGTGTCATGTGAAGAGAGGGGACCTGATCTGTCTCTCCTCCCAATCCCCTGCACCATTTTCCTGACCTGAAGGCCTCAGGGGATCACTGTTTGCCGTTTTGAGGAGCTTTAGCATGTACAGATTGGCCTGACAGTAAATTTCCCCACTGGGGCAAAGAGTGGCTCCTCAGGGCTTCTTCAGGTCAGGCTCCGGGGGGGGAGGTTTGGGAGTCCCCCTGAGGACAGCTCCCTACGTTCCTAACTGAAAGTGACCAGGGGTCATTTCACAGAAGAAGAGGTGCAGGAGCTCATTAGAATAACTCATTAGCATAACTTATTTACATATACCATACCCCCTGACATCACCAGAAGTGTGTCAGAAGGCAACACCCACCGCTCAGGCTCCACTTGACTGTTTTGGATTGCTAGCTAATGGGGGGGGGGGGAACGTGCAGATCTGCCCTCACAGAGGAGGGAGAGCTTGTGCCTGAATGAAACCTGGTCTTAAAGGTGCCACTGGACTGTTTTGGATTGCTAGCTATTGGGGGGGACACGCAGATCTGCCCTCACAGAGGAGGGAGAGCTTGTACCTGAATAAACCTTGGCCTTAAAGGTGCCACTGAACTGTTTTGGAAGCTTCTTGCTCCTCGTGGCCCGAGTGAGAGCTGCTGGGAGCAGGGGGTGGGGCTTGTTGCATGTGCCCGCCCCCTGGGCTCCTTACTGCCGGAGCTCCGCTCCTGTGCGCTCCCGCAGGAAATGACCCCTGAAAGTGACCATGGCACTACCTGTGACCTAAAAGGCAGGTAGATCTCTTTAAAGGAGAAGAGTTGTAGGCAGGCAGAGAGGTGCTGAATCCTGCCCCCCCTTGCTGTGCTTGCCCTTGAAATCAACCCCCCCCCGCCATGTTTCTTCTCACTTTTGGTCTTTGAGGCTGACTGGGAAAATGTGACTAGATTACAAGAGGGCAAAGATAACCAGCAGGGGAAGTATTTATTTATTTCCCCCCTTCCCCCCGCACAACAGGCTCAGGGCGGGTTACAAGATGATTAAAAACATACAACTTAATTGAAATGTAATACAACCTTAAAATTGCCTCAGCTATGGGCCTGGCGGAACATCTCCATTTTACAGGCCTCGCAGAACCGCATTAAACCCCACTGTTAGAGAATGAACTTGATATTTTGCTTTATGAACTAGATTTATTACTACACACACAATGGACTGTGCACACACACACACAGGCTCAGAGAACTGTACATTTCAAGTCACCTGTTGTGACATGCAACACATAGAAGGTGCCTACAGAAGCCTTACACGTGAATAAGGTGTAAGTGACAAAGTTACCAGCCTGGTGAAGGAGCACACACCTCCATTATTGTGAGCAGTAAGAAACAACAGCTTTGAGAAGAGACAGCCCCCATTGTAGATCTAGTTGGGATCACGTACAACACATCCATGCTTTGTTCTACATTGGCATTTCCTGTCAAATGGACATTTGTTTCACAAAGAGGATGACCGGCTTGATCAGCACTTCAATGAAACATCCTGACGCCAAGGTTTCACACCTGCCCAGATGTCCTTCTTTGAGTAAGGTATTAGATTTCATATTGACCACTCCTTTAGGCAACCTCCCACTCCTATAGGCCACCCATAGGATGGTTTTTGGGATGGACTAACAGGAAGGTGGGCCAGGAGGTTGGCACCATCAACACCCACCTCCTGGATCCCCGGATAAAGGAAGAGAACCAGTCACATGGTCTCTCTCTCTCTCTCCTACTTGATCAACTAGCTAGCATCCCCCGCAACAACCCCTGTCTGCTTTATACTCCCCTTTTGTCCAGCTTGCTATCCCCAAACCCTTGCCTCTACTTTGATCTCTTGATCTGCAGTCAAGAGACCCCCACACAGTCCTGCTAAGTTCTGGTAGTGTGGATCCCTTTAGTTTTCCATTTCTTCCCCTCTATTCTTCATTGGAACAACCAAAGCTGCAAAGACAGATAAGTATCACCCATCATCACCCTACCTGCTAATGCAGACGTGCTTATTTTAATACTGTATTTCTAAGGAACTTGACTGAATGTGTGAGTGCATCAGTATTGTTTGTATGTGATATATTTTCTTAAGTAAAAGACATTTATTTTAACAACACCAGCCTCGACGCCTTCTCTGGTAACCCTTGGTGGGAACAGGACCTTGGTATAGTTGGCAAGCACCCAGTTTAAAATTTTGCCAATTGCTGTAGATAAAGCCATTCGGCTAACACCACATTAAATTAAGTACCATTGTAATAAATAAACCACATGGACATACAACCGAATTAGAAGAAAATACGAACTATACTTTTAACTATAATGCAAAATATTTACATAAAAATACATGGTGGAAAAAATGAATAATATACATGTAGACAATGCATGAGGTAACAAAATAGACAAGATAACAATATAAATGATACCCTCAAATCTGCATGCACTTATGTTTGTTTGTTTTTTGTTTGTTGGTCACAAAAAAAATTGCTTAAAAAAATATATTAAGTACCCCTCTCCTTTCCCCACACCTTTGCTTTAAAATTTCCTCTCCTGAAAGACTAGGGTTGCCAAGTCTGGCAAACTCACCGGCGGGGGAGGCTTCTCTGGCTCCGGGAGCCGGCTCCGGATGCGCGCGTGCTGCCAGCACGTTGACGGAAGTGACGTGCGACGTCACTCACGTTGGGGG